GCTAGCCTGACCTTGGCAGATCTCAGAAACTAAGCAGGGTCGGTCCTGGTTAGTATTTGGACGCGAGGCCTCCGAGGAATACGAGGAGGCTGATGCAGAGGCAGGCAATGGCAAACTACCCTTCTGATTTACCAAAAAAGATGAATCCAGAAGCAATCATAAACATTTCTGTACAGCCTAAGAAATATACGATCGAAGAGTCAGTAATCAATAAAAACACACACATCACAATACTCAGATGACACTGCAATGTGCGAAAAACCCTATGGGGCTGCCATAAGTTGGCTGTGACTCGACACAGTCCCCCTCCACCAAAAAGTTACTCTCGGCCTGTGTTCCCTCTAAGCCAGTTTGGTGTAGTGGTTAAGTGCACGGACTCTAATCTGGGAGTACCGGGTTTGATTCCCCACTCCTCCACTTGCACCTGGCTTGGATGACCTTGGGCAAGCCATAATTCTGGCAAGCTGTTCTTGAAAAAGAGTGGTCTCTGTCAGAGTTCTCTCAGCCCCACCTACCTCACAGGGTGTCTGTTGTGGGGAGGGGAAGGGAAAGGAGTTTGTAAGCCGCTCTGAGACACCTTTGGGTAGTGAAGAGCGGGGTATAAATCCAATCTCCTCCTCCTCCTCCTAAGCTGAGTTAGTGTGAGCTAGCTCACAGTGTTTTAGACTCCGGCTCATACATTTTTGTCTTCGCTCAGGAAGGATGGCTCCAGAGCAAACTGATTTATGCAGCCAAATTGCTCGCTCACAACTTTAATGCCTGTAGCTCACAAAATAGAATTTTTTTCTCACAAGGCTCCACAGCTTAGAGGGAGCATCCCGACTGAAAAACATTAAGTGGAAATGGATCTCTGGCTGATGTTTTCCATTATGGAAACTTGAGACACATTTTTGGCAACACAACCCTAAAACCTGTAACTGGGTAAAGTTTTGAACCTACACGAGCAGGTGAATAGTCTCTTGGTTACAAAAATCCACATTAAGGTACTGATGGGTTCTATGACTGTGACCCAGGAATGTTGCACAATGCCAAGCTATGTGGCACTCAGGGATTCCCCCTATCTGCAACAGATGGTTAGTGTAGTTCCCTCTCTGCTCTCCCACTGAAGGAGAGGTGGCACCTGAATTCATCCTTCCCAGGAGGAGGAGGAGGCAGATTTATACCCCGCCCTTCACGTCCCAGAGTAGCTTACAATCTCCTTCCCTTCCTCTCACCACAACAGACACCCTGTGAGGTAGGTGGGGCTGAGAGAGCTCTGAGAGAACTGCTCTTGAGAGAACATCTCTAAGAGAACTGTGACTGACCCAAGGTCACCCAGCCGGCTGTATGTGGAGGAGCGGGGAATCAAACCCGATTCTCCAGATTAGAGTCCACCGCTCTTAACCACTATACCAAACTGGCTCTCTGACCAGAGCTGACAAAGCTAGCAGCACTGACGGTCCTTGCTATATGCATATATGGTGTCTATACTTCCAATATCTGGATGTGGTAGCCCTTCCCCTAGCTTATCAATCATTTGTACAGGTAGAAGGGAAGACCTGGGACATCCCTCATGCTGGGAAACTTTGGCCTTCTCTTGAAACCAAGTGTAGCTTTTCCTTTGTTAGCCTCAGAATGCTTTTTGATCAGTTTGTGGTGTATTTACAGCAGTTGTGTTGAGAGCAGTGCATCTTTTGTGCATTTTCTTTATGCTCATTTTTATCCAGGACAAAAAAACCCAATAAATTAATAATAATAATAATAATAATAAATAAAAATAATAACCTTCTGATTTACCAAAAAAGATGAATCCAGAAGCAATCATAAACATTTCTGTACAGCCTAAGAAATATACGATCGAAGAGTCAGTAATCAATAAAAACACACACATCACAATACTCAGATGACACTGCAATGTGCGAATGTTAGAATCACAGAATCACAGAGTTGGAAGGGAACCCCAAGGATCATCTAGTCCAACCCTCTGCAAAATGCAGGAAATTCACAAATACTCCACACACACCTCCACACACCCCCAGTGACTGCTGTTCCATGCCCAGAAGATGACAGAATATTGTTTATCTAATACAGACCAGAAGCAAATCACCGTTAATGCCTCTGGTTTGTCCTTAAAAAAGGTAAAGGTTCCCTTGCTCGAAAGCCATTTGAATCCGACTCTAGGGTTGCAGTGCTAATCTCCGTTTCCAAGCCGAAGAGCCAGCGCTGTCCGAAGACGTTTCCGTGGTCATGTGGCCGGCATGACTAAACACCAAGGCGCACGGAACGCTGTTACCTTCCCACCGAAGTGGTACCTATTTATCTACTTGCAATTTCTTGCTTTCGAACTGCTCAAAAAAACACATTTACCCTCAATGAGTTATACACTCACACAGGTTAGGGTTGCCAGGCTCCATGTGGGACCTGGAGTTCTCCTGGCATTACAACTGCTGT